CACACAATTGTCCAACGGATAGCAAGTTGAAACTCAATGAAGCAACATAGAGCACATTTGAGATGGAATGATCATTTGATATTGCCACTTTGCCCAATCCTTTAACCTTGCCCTTTGAGTTATCTCCAAATGTTATTCTCTCTTGTCCATCTACCTCTTTATCTAGTGAGGTGAACATACGAGGATCACCGGTCATATGTTGAGTGCAACCACTATCAATAACCCAATGACTTCCATCGGTCTTGTAGTTCACCTACACACAAGATATTCAAGCTTTAGGAACCCAAACTTGTTGAGGGCCCTTCATCTTCTCAACAAGTGACTTTGCAACCCAAATATTTTTAGGCCTATTCTTGTTAGGAGGTCCTAAGAACATAACTTTCATCTTTCCACTAGAGTCTTTTCTAAGCATGTAGTGAGCATTGAAGGCAAAGGGTCTAGCATGCTTGGGCAAGGGTTGTGGTGGTGGAGTTTGGCACTCATGAGCAAAGTGGCCTTCTTGTCCACACTCAAAGCATCTTTTTGGCTTTGGCTTTGGCTTTGATTGTTGTTGTTGAACTTGAGCCTTCTTCTTCTCTACATGTGCCACATATCCAATGCCACTTCTATCCATCTTCATGATGGTGTTCATAAGAAGCTCACTTTGAAGATGCTTGCCTCTTGCAAACTTGCTCAATCCAACCTTGAGGTGTTCTTTCTCCATCTTGAGCTTTTTGTTCTCTTCCTTGAGAACATCATTGTTCTTCTCTTCCTTTAGCCTCTTGTTCTCTTCTTTGAGCTTCTCATTCTCAAGGATCAACTCTTCATCATGATCAAGGGTTTCTAGTACAATGGTGTTGTGGCTCTTTATCTCTTCAAGATCTTTCATGAGCTTTTCATTTGCATTCTTGAACTTGATATACTCATCATATTCATTGCACTCAACCACTTGCTTGCCTTTGCCACTAGATCCTTGCTCAATGCTCTCATCAATTAAATCATCACATGATGTAGCTATATCAATCTTAACAACATAGTTAGTAGCATCATGTGACTCATTTGGTAGAAATTCTTGAGCAATAACAAGAGTATCATAATTAATCTTTAGAGTTGTATATTCATCTTTTAGCTTGTTGTGGCTAGTGATGAGCTCATTGTGCACCCACTCAAGTTTATCATATTTATCTTTAAGTTCTTTCTTAGAAGATTTTAGCTCCTTGAGTTTGGATGTTATAGCATCATTTGTTTCTTTGAGCTCAACATTCGCCTTATCCATTGTATCACATTTTGTTAAAAGTGAATCATTCTTAGCATCTAATTTTTCAATTTTAGCTCCTCTCTTTCTAATGATCTTAGTATATTTTCTTAGTATTTTAACAAGATCATCATAAGAAGGTGAGTCATCATCATCACTATCGCTATCACTATTATCATCACTAGCATGCTCATCACCACTACTATCATCATCATTAGATACCTTGCGTTCACCATTGGCCATAAGACATAGGTGTGTAGAGGATGATGGCGGTGATGGCGGTGAAGGTGAAAGATCAATAGCAATGGCGGCCACCTTCTCATTGTCACTATCATCATCGGATGATCCACTAGATGAATCAATATCCGTGAGCCAATCACCGACGATGTAGGCCTTTCCACTTTTCTTCTTCTTGTGGAAGTCCCTCTTCTTGCCATCTCTCTTCTTGTATGGCTTGTTCTTCTTCTTCTCATCTTCTTCTTCATTGCTTGAGTCATCTTTCTTGCCCTTGTACTTGTTCTTGTACTTGTCTTTCTTGGGCTTTGTGCATTGATGTGCTAGATGACCAAGCTCTCTATAATTGAAGCAATCCATTTCGGAGATTGGCTTCCTTCTTGAGTTAGTGAAGAACTTCTTCTTCTTGCCATCAAACTTGATGCCATTCTTGTTTAGCTTCTTTAGCATCTTGGCGGTCTTCTTCACCATGAGAGCAAGACTTTCATCATCATCTTCTTCATCACTTGAGCTCTCATACTCAAGTCTTGATTTGCCCTTCTCTTGGCTAGCTTTAAATGCTAAGTCTTTTTCTTTCTTCTTTGTAGAGGATGAACCATCTTGAGGTGTGATGTGCATGTACATCTCATGAGCATTGATCTTTCCCAAGATTTGTGTCGGTGTAGCGGTGGAAAGATCACCTTGGTGTAGCACGGTCACAATATGGCCATATTTGTCAATGGGGAGGACACTCAAGATTTTTCTCACAACATCAGATGGTGACATTTGAGTTAGTCCAAGCCCATTGACTTCCTCTACAAGAACATTCAAACGTGAATACATCTCATTAGCACATTCTTTAGGAAGCATCTCAAATGAATTTAGCTTTTTAATAACAAGATGATAGCGTTCCTCACGCTCACTCTTAGTTCCCTTATGGAGCGCACAAACGTCCGACCATAGTGTATGGGCGTCTTTGTGGTTCCTTACACGGTTGAACACATCTTTGTAAAGGCCTCTAAAGATGGTGTTATGAGCCTTTGCATTCCATTTTTCATAGTTCACTTCATCGCCTTGAAGTTGTGCGTAGGTCTTGGGAACCCATGTGAGGCGGCTCTAAGTATTCCAACGTCTAGAGCTTCTAGGTACGCCTCCATGCGAATTTTCCAATATGGAAAATCATCCCCCTCGAAGATAGGAGGAGGTCCATCCCGGTGAGATATCTTGCTCTAAGCGATTAAACTTAAAAACGTGAGCACGAGGCTCTGATACCAATTGAAAGGATCAAGATGCCCAAGAGGGGGGGTGAATTGGGCTAATTCTAAATTTTCTTACAATAATTAAATCCTATTGATAGCCCAATTAACCCCTTGTGCCTAGAAAGTGTTTGTAATGTTCTATCGCACAAAGAGACTTGCAACCTAAGTTCCAATCCTACTCTAGCATGGCAATTCTAGGAATGTAAATGATAAGAATTGAATTGCTCAAAGTAAAAAGAGGAGAGGAAACGCGGCGATGTTTTGTCGAGGTATCGGAGAGTCGCCACTCCCCACTAGTCCTCGTTGGAGCACCTACGCAAGGGTGTAGCTCCCCCTTGATCCGCGTAAGGATCAAGTGCTCTCTACGGGTTGATTCTTCGACACTCCGTCACGGCGAATCACCCAAAGCCGCTCACAACTTGAGTTGGGTCACCCACAAGATCCACCGGGTGATCACCAAGCTCCCAATCACCACCAAGCCGTCTAGGTGATGGCGATCACCAAGAGTAACAAGCACGAACTCTCACTTGACCACGCGAAGCATAATGAAAACGGTGGATGCATACTTTGCTACTCTTGATTCACTAATGAGGCTACTCTCTTGGATTCTCAAATCACAAACACCTCACTAGGACCTTGCTCTTCTTAGCACTCACAAATGTGTTTCTCAGCTGTTGGAATGAGCAAAAGTACCCCCTCACACAAAGGGGTGAAGTATTTATAACAGCGGCTGAAAACGAACCGTTATGGGCTTCTATGGGGTGACTGGACGCTCCGGTCATGTTGACCGGACGCTTCGGTCAGTTCAATCCACGGACCAGTGCTTAAGTGATGACCGGACGCTGGCAAGGTCCGGTCAGCACTGACCGGACGTGTCTGGTCGCATTTCTCCCTCACTGGATGCTTACTATACTCGACCGGACGCTGAACCCCTAGGGTCCGGTCAGTACTGACCGGACGTGTCCGGTCGCTGATTCACTTCTCTAGAACCTTACTGGAGTTGACCGGACGCTGGCCCTCAGCGTCCGGTCACTTGACCACTCCAGCGTCCGGTCGCACCGAACGCAATCTCTTGATCAAATGAACTGACCGGACCCTGCGGCCAGCGTCCGATCGCACCGAAGCCAGCGTCCGGTTAGTATTTGACCCTCCATTCACCTTCAACTCTCGATCATGTGTGAATGAAGTTTGCTCCGTTGGATCTTAGGCATATGTAGAAGCTACCTAGAGCTAGTTTAAACAAGTGTGCACCACACCTAACTCACTAGACTCATCTAGGTCAAGCTACCCGTCCATACCCTCCTTAATAGTACGGCCAAAGGAAAAACAAAGTCCTAAACTACTCTAAGTGTCACTCCAACTTCAATCAACACTTAGAACTAGCCGTCTTTAACCTTGTCGTCCATCCTTTGAAAACCGAAACGATTTCCATCGTAGGGGCATGACCACCTCGATTGCCCAATCGATCTCCATTACCATGACCTAACTTAATTGTCTCTGCAAAACACACGTTAGTCATAGAAATCTTGTATTGTCATTAATCACTGAAACCCAACAAAGGGGCATAGATGCTTTCAATAGTTTATACACTTTAAGTTTATTTATGTTTCAACTAAATACATATGGTGCTAAAAAAGATTAATCGTAGAAATTATTACTCACGAAACTGGTACAAATAAAAAAGATAGGTCCTCATTTTTCTTACAAAAATCTAAAACATTTTGCTATCAAATCGGTAGACTATAACACCATTGTAAATAATAGTTGTTGTATCCGAGGAATTAATAAGCTTAAAGTTTGGGGAAAAGAATCAAAATTTAGGTTCATGTCGTCAAAATATAGACTACAGCTAAAACTATCACAGTTTAAGCAAATGTTTCAACTAAATGTATATTGGAGATACACAGATTTGCTTTGCAAAGAAAAAATAACTATGGGTATGGATGAAAAACATATAAATCAATATTGAATATAGACTATAGAGTACCTATTATAGCTATTATTTTAGACCATTAGTGAAGAGAAAAATATTTAATATAAGTAATTCTTATTAGTTAGTGTCTCATAAGATTCTAACCCGTGCGAGAGCACGGGTTGGTGAACTAGTATATAAAATTATTAACAGTCATGATTCTGAATAAATATCATGAGATTAATGACATAATATATATATTTTTATAGTAAATCTATTTAGAGAGATAATCAAACGTAGAATTGTTTCTTTTGAACCGAGGGAGTAGAGCAAAACATGATCGTGAGCTACTGCGAGCAAATCAAACGACACAATGTGCTAGCTAGCTTATGATGTGGCTTCCACATTTGCACTTGCAAACACAATCAACGCAAAGGCCGGCGGCGGCGTCGATATGAGCTGAACAGGCGTCGCCACTGTCGCGTCCGTCCAGCAAGCCGGAGGAGTCCTTTGCCCTACGCGGCTTCGTCCTGCACATGCACACGTACACAATCAGACATGCTACTCTATTCTTCATCTATCGCAGTATCCTGTAATTTGATGCGAGCAAATTTCTTGTAGAAATAATAATCTTGTAATTCGCTCACAATCAAAATATATGTATATACCTTTCGATGGCCATGAGCTGCTCGTAGTGCGCCTCGACGGCGAGGAAGTAGCCGAGGAATCCGACCATGCCGGCCAACTCACCCATCCAAACGACAACTGTCCCGGTGATCGTGCCGAAGAGGGCGCCGACCGATGCGGCGACGACGAGCCAACCGATGACGCCAATCACGGCGGCCAAGGCGCGCATATCATCGATGGCGGCCAGGACAGGACTCCTGACCAGGGACGGCAGCATCAACCGCACGGCCAAGACCAAGGGGCCAGCGAGGTAGAAGACGACCTCCGTGGGTGGGGCCTCCCACTTCGTCTCCGGCGAAGTCCATGACGCTAACCACACCGATGCCGAGACGGCGACCGCCACGTTTTCCATGGCGGAGACGGCCCGGACCTTGCTCTCTCGCTCCTCCTGCTCCTCCGCGCGGCTCTGGTAGCTCGGGGTGGACGCCACCGTGGCGGCCGACCAACGCTCCGTGCCGGCGCGCTGCCGGCGTTCGGCGAGGGCGCGCCCGCAGGCATAGGCGGAGTATAGCGGGGCGAGGACAATCGCGGCCGCGCCGGCGACGGGGGCGATCAGCTTGTCCGCTGCGGCGGCGAGAAGGAGCATGCACGCGGTGGCGGTGCGCGCAAATACGGTGCCGCCGGCGCCCTGGGCGCGCGGAGCCGGAGAGAGCGCGGCGGTCCAGGAGTAGAGGTAAGCCCAGATCAGAGGCGACAGGCCCCACAGGAAGCCTGAGAACACCTCCGCTTCGTCCATGGCGCTGCAGCGGCGCAGCGTGCCTGCTGCCAGCCAAGCGAACAGCAACGACGTGGCGGACATAGCGACGGCGCCGGCGCGGGACAGCGCCGCAGGCCACTTGTTGCTCTCGTTGGTGCGTGAGGAGGCACCCTCGGGAACTTCCATCTTCTGGCTTGAAACACTCATACGTCCCTGTAATCTTGTCTTCCCAATATCTTGTAATCGTGTACAATGCATGTATATATTGCACTAAATCTTTCCAAACTTATTCCGATTTCAGGTTTTAGAAGTTTCCAATTTCCATCTAGGCTAACAAACAAGTGACCCGAAACCTGGTTTGTTACGGTTTGGGCTGGAACCTAGAGGCATATGTAAACTTTTGAATCTCTAAACCGACTATCAGGACTATTTATGATCTTTTTGGTTTACTTTGATTGAGCTATAAAAAAGTTAGGCCCCATTTAGTACAGCTCAGCTTCACCATATAAGTTTTTTTTTTGCAAAATAGCTTCATGAGTAACTTTTTTTGTTGAAGCTGAGTTATTTTAAAACAAGTGTTTGGTAAAACAGCTTCACATGATGGAACAATGAATAGAATGATTATAATATGGAAGATGAAGCTGGAATAAGCTACTTTTTTCAGCTTCATCACAACTCATATCTTTGTGAGTAGAGCAAAAAAACAGCTTCACCCATAAAGCTATTTTAGAAATGAATGTTTGACAAAAAAAAACAGCTCACAACAGCTCATGAAGCTGTTATGAGCTGTGCTAGACAGGCCCTTAATTTGAGCTATGTGCTGTGAAAAAGTTATGGATTGTTTGGTCAAACAAGTAAAAAATCTACACCCTCTCTCTATCTTCCTTAAAACAACTTAAAACATCTCTCTATTTCGACCTATTTCGAAAAGCAGCCAAAAGTCAAAACTATACAATATGAAAACAACTGCTTCTGGAAAAAGCAGCTTCAAGTTTCATCTGTTTGGTTGGCTTTTTGTGTTTTGGCAGAAGAAGCATTTTTCATAAATTCAAGCACTCTATGGAACACAAGGTGTACAAAATTCTACCGCTCAGGGGTGGAAGTTCTGAAATAGAGTTGAGGCTTAGTCTTGGTTCTTTTCCTTTTGTTTGAACCTTGAGTTTGTCTTTTGTTTATCCTCTTTTGATAGAGTTGACCTTGATTGTACACATCTTCGGAGTGTAGAGGCTGAAATCTCGTTACTTTATACTCTTCAATGCCCAGTTGTGGCCTTATGGATGCATTCACCTCTGTAAATTAGCCTTTACCTTTAAGGCCCATTTCTATAGGACGTTTAAGTTAATCAAACAGTTACTGAAAAGAAGATGACGAAGACTTAGCGTCTGAGTTGAGTGTGCAAGAGCTGAGAGATTAAAAAAAAAGAAACTGCAAGAACCTAGGGGCCATTTGGATTCTTTCATTTTGGAGAAATTAGAATCTACTTAATGTATTAGGCTATTTGGCTTAAAATTTAAGATTCCACAACTTTCCAAAGTTCTCGTAGCCTATCTCAAATTCATAGAACAGGAGACGATGGAAATTGATTTTATAGATCAACATGCTATGTTTATACTCTTCAACTTATAGCACGCTTTTCACCTCGTTTCCCTATAGTAGAAATGCTACATATAAGCATATCCCTTGCATGGCTAACAATAGCATATAAATATATTCCATATAGGTATATATAACCATATTAGCTTAATTAATATGTGCCTAAGTTATAATTTGTTAGAATGAATTCAATTCCAATGATCCAAAAAGACTTTGATAATGTGCGGACGTCTAGATTAAACAACTTCCAATATGGTTGTATATGGAATATATTTGAATTCAATTCCAGCAGAAGGAAAACCTCAATTGTTCATTGCATTTTGACCAGTAGAATGGGCCAAATTACCTTCTAAAGAATGCTTAAAGGTCCAACCTTATCGAAATTTGGTCAATACATATATACAAGGAAAATGGAAGGTCTTGTTCACCCATAGTAAGTCTGACTAGCAAACAAGACGATGCAGACCTCGAATTAGGTCCAGGATGTAACCTTCAGTCCTCTACTTATCAGCGTGGTACAATGTCTATCTTGTTCACCACATGCCTTTGAATGGCAGAGGCACCAGCGATGGTCTGACGTTCTTCTCCAGGCCAGTGTGGTTCCTGGACAACTATATCCTCTGGCATCACCCTGATACAATAAATCATCGGGAATCAGTGTCTAAGAACTTATCATGCAAACATTGGATAACCATATGAGGAATGAGGGTTGTATTCACACACATGTTCATCCATTCACCGAATGCCCCATTCTTGTAGTACAATCTGTCCATACAGAAAGCAATTACATATTTAGATGTACATAGCACTCACTCTGTTATAAGGAAGGTTTGAGGCAATACTAGAACTCTAAGAAAGTTATTTGCAGTGGTATTTCAGGTGTATATAACATCCATTTAATTAAATAGAGCATACAGTACTTTGTGGATTCTGCAACTGGCACAAGCCACTGGAGTATTCTGTCCATCTCAGCTCTGACCTCCGCTACGTTCATCGTCTACAAGCCATTACCAAGATCAGAATGAGGAAAACAGTAGAAGGGCGGGCCTGGTGCAAGCGGTAGAGTCTTACCGCCTATAACCGGAAGGTCCCGGGTTCGAGTCGCGGTCTCCTCGTATTGCACAGGCGAGGGTAAGGCTTGCCACTGACACCCTTCCCAAACCCCGCATAGAGCGGGAGCTTTCTGCACTGGGTACGCCCTTTTAGAATGAGGAAAACAGTATAATTGATAGATATGTTCAGATGTTATGATGGCAGATAAAGAGTGGTTACTCTCTCTCTCTATGACAACACTCTCGCAACTTTGATTTGATGCATGGAGGCAGTGGCTGGTACAGTGCATCCCTAGCTTTGTAAGAAACAACCTCAGGTGAAGTCAATACCTGAAAATGACCAAGTCATTAAGACATAAGAGAGAATCTAAATCCAGGAAAGTTCTCGGACAATGTTGGAAAATTGCTTCTGCTTTCCAACATGTTCTTGAGTGACCCTATTTTCTGAAATAATTTTTATACCATTCTGTCATGGCCACCACCAGGAAAATGGCCAGGTGGCATCAGTTTTGTTGGAGATGAGGTCTAGATCAAAGATGTGAGGGATGGACACAAGAGAACTAGATTGATTGTTTCTTGCTTTCCTTTAATTGATGCATCTCCTCTCCTATTATATAGAGTTTTACTTGACTCCTAAGGAATAGATCTAATCTACTATTAACAAACCTAATCTTATCCCTAACTAACCTAAGCTTGAGAGAGGAGGCGCTACTCAAACGGCTCTGCTACAGTGCCAAACCAGCCAAAGGATGAAAGAAGCTCAGTTGGCTGCCCATAGCAGTTTTCTTAAGGTTAAGGGTTCTTTTCAGTTTCAAAATGACCCAAATGTACCACCTCCACAGATTTATATAAGGTATGAAGCATTTTAGGATTCAAACTTCATAATTTTGACTAGCAATTAGTGGTAGTATCCATGTTCAGTAAATCAAAAAGTGGCGCCACTATATTCGATTTGGAGTGCTTTCAGTGACTAGTTTTTGTACTTATTAGCAATATATGGTAAACGAAAGTTGCTAGTAAAAATTTAATTTGAAGAGGCAGGCTTACAAATATTCAAAGCATAAAGTAGCAGTAGAAGCCTTAAAAAGGTACTTTGTTGAAAGGTTTGCACATATCACCCAATTATGTTACACTATTATTAGCTGATATCAAAAGAACATGTGTTCATACCAATACATTTATCTGCAGAATGACATTGGCATAATGCAATGCAAGGCCAGTAGACCCTAATGTTTCATGAAGGTTGGTCACTGGCGCTACAGATTGATCAGATTGATCTCCGTGGTTCTTCAAGAAAGCTCTTCTGATCTCAAAATTTAAGACATGCACAATGTCTACAAGTTTCACTACAATCTACAACAGAACATAGAGTTGTTAGTCCACGGCATAGATAATATAAACACTTAATCTTTACTGTGCTAGATTACATCTTCCATCGTCTTGGGCCAAAGTGATTTATTTCCCAAGTTCTTAGCAACAGATCTTTGGTGCTTCAGTGAACGACGCATGGTTTGAATCATATCTGCAAACAATTCATGTATGGTTTGAAATCGTTAAAAATGGAGCCCTTTTACGGTCCATGTGAAGTACAAGGAGGTACCACCAAATTATAACTAGGAAACTAGAAAATTTAGCAACTTAGTACCCAAATTGTGTTTTATCTCCCATGGTATAATTTTGTGGTATCCCATAAGGACCACTAAATCAGCCTCAAAAGTTGTATATCTGTCATCAGTATCACTAACAATGGAAGTGCCTATGTTACATTCATCCTTTTTTCTATGTCTTTTTAGACCAAAAAAATATCCCACACAATTGGGTGGCCAGATTTTGGTATCAAGCTGCATGCACCATTCAGTTGAGCTCAAAGGCCTAATTTAATATAGAAAGACGGACAACTAACTTATCTGACATTCCACCTGACTTGAACTCAAGACCTATGGCTCTAATACCATATATATTGAGGTGCATGCACATCCAATTGGCCCAAAACACCACACACTAGGCACTGCATGAATATCATCTCTCTTTAGACAACGAGAGAAAAGTAAAGTGCAATCCAAAAATGTTTTTCTTTTATAGTATCTTGTCTTGTTACATGAAAAATGAATTCAAGTGCAAAATACTAACTACTTTGATCACGTTTAGATCTTCCACTGCCATAATGCCGCAACGATTCGTATTGGAATCCTTTTTCACACTTGTCCCACACAAGTAATTTTCCACGCAGTTCCTGAACAAAGAAAAATTAAAGAAGCAACAAAGTTTCAGTGACTTCTGATGAAAAACAAACTAGAAGATTTGTGATTGTGCAAAGAAATACAGACCGAAGTGTACTTTTCAAGCTTTGTAAGATACTCCATATTGGAAACCAATTCTTCGTTCACCACCTTTTTCAGAGTTTTCATCTCTTGATCTGCCAGACTATTCATTATCGAGAATAGCATCCACAAAACAGAAAAATGTCATCATGAGGTCCTGGAGTTAAGAACTCGATATTAAGTTAACTTAGGTGGTCATAAATCATAATAGTAGGTTTTACCTGTCGAAATACATAAACAAGTTGTGCAACAAAGGATCTACACACATATTTCCAAACCGATTAACCTCTGAGTAAAATTGCCTAAACATCTGTCTGTGCAATTCAAATCAAATTCACATAAGTAAATCTTGAAAATGTACTGGTGATTACAGGCATAGTAAATCCCCATCACCGTATGTCAGCTTCAACAAGAACAACCAACTGATTGTGATCTTCGGAGATCAGACGACGCACACCTTCTGACCTAAGCACCCCTTCTTTCAGATGCTCCATGCTTTGTTTGGAGAGTATTTTCATCAGACTGGAGCTCTTGACAATTGTATTGGCAACCTCAATGGCCAGAATACTTATCTTACTTCCTTTGGCAGAGGAGAACAGACTGCTGATATTTGATCTATTCAATATTGTGATAGGATTCGTCATCCCTACTGAATAACCTAATGTGTCAATTTATGTGTCCTGCAGGATGAGAACATAGATAAAATAGCTCCATGTAATATGGATTTGGTATGTAAATTTCTTTTTACATATCTATTAGGGAAGAGCTAGCGCACGTACCAATGTATGCCTATTTGTACTCCCTACTGCATTAAGCATTTGAAGTATATCCAATGCAGAAGGCCTTTTCTTCGGGTCAGAATCAACACAGTTTAGTCCTATTACAATGCATGTATTTACTTGTCGACTTTCTATTTCCAGGGGTATATACTTTGGTGCCTTTTCCATGTTGTTCCTCCAAATTTCAACCACCTAAATTTGACAGAGTAAATGTGTTAGGCAAAAAAAAAAGAGATTTGAGATCACACTACGAGAAATCTGTAAAGGCTGGCTAAGTCATCTTACGTTCTTGATGAACCGCTCAAATGATGCTTCACTACTTGGGGGATAGTCCCTAGATCCCGTCATTAGCTCTATAATTATAATGCCCAAACTGAATATATCTGACTTGGTGGATATGAATCAATTTGTTAAGTATTCTGGTGCCATGTATCCACTGCATTATAACAAGAAATGCCATCATATTTTAAAATTGGATAAGAACACAGCAAATGTCTAAAGAGAATTAGCTTACCGTGTCCCCCCGCGACTTTCAGTGATTATTCGAGACTGTTGTTGGCCAAAGAGTCTTGACATACCAAAATCTGCAATTTTTGGCACCATACCATCATCAAGCAATATATTCTCAGGTTTGAGGTCCAAATGAACAATATGGCATTCCGTGTGAAGGTAATGCAAACCAGAGCAAATTCCTCTAATTATCTGATATCTCATATTCCACTTGAGTCCACAAGATTCATCTGTAGATACAAGTAAATAGACAAGATATGTGAGGTCATCCAACATATGGGTTGTGGCACCACAATGGCGTGAATAACAGCATTTTGTGCACAAAATATACTAAGGAAGCATGTCAGAACACTTGCATACCCGAAAGGTGCTTATCAAGGATCTTGTTATTTAGGTACTCAAAGCAAAGCAGCCTTTTTCGTATTTCAGCCATGACATATTTCCCGCTTACTTGAGTTGCCTCCCACCATGATTCAGCACAATAGCCTACAAGTTTTACAATAATCTTGTGCATCAACCCAATTAGATAAATAACTTCATTCTGAAATGGACCATCTTCTAGCTGCATCTCCGAAAGCTTCTTCACAGCAATTGCCTTACCATTTTGAAGAATTCCATGTTCAAACTCATAATTGCAATACTGACATTAGCCTTTGATTCTCAGGGAAATCATTTACACATATGCCACTGAAAGGTTCCTGCATCCCTACAATGCCACTGCAATACAGATGCTCCTTATGTGCCAATATTAAAAGAAGGCCCGCCCATGCCATTGCTGCCAGTTCATTTTTCTGTAATGTTATAAACCTTCCATATTGCCCAAATTGGTCCCATCTAAAGAAGAACCGTGTCCCATATGTCAGCCTTCTATCAAGTCAAGGATATCTTTATTAAATCGGATCTCTATATGTCAAAATGCAGAGCAAATTAAACATCTATTCCTGGATATGTTAGACTGGATCCAAGAATCACATATTAAGTACAGATTTTGAATTTCAGGAAGTCACTGCATCAATTCACTTGTTTTTCATTGGCCAACTATCTCAATCAGTACCTACAAATGTTTTGACCAAACGGTTTGGTAATGGGGTATGGCTCCCACATCGACCAAAGATAGACTGAACTAGGCCATGAAGTTGGTCACAGAAAGAAAATAGACAATGAAGTGGAGGAAATCCTTGGGAGGAGGATTGGAAATGAGGTTAAGTTCACCTTGAGCGCGACGGAGAGGTGAGGGTGAGGGCATGAGGCAAGGGGTTGCAGCGGGAAAGCGGAGGGAGCTGCAATGGTGACGCATGAGTCTGATGAATAAATCGATCGGTGCTGGCGCAACGGAGTGGTGAATCTGCTCGCTGAGACGCGGCGCCGGCGGCGGCCGACCGGCACCCGCGCCGCGCAGTGGCGCTGGCCGAGGTGGGGGACCCTGGCACAGACTGGGCTGGGCTGGGCCTTCGCCCTTTTGGCTAGCCCAACGCTAATGCGCTGTGTTACCTGTGTCGTGGCTGTGGTGCAGCCTGTTCGGGAGGCCGTTTCGTATCGTGGATTACTTACTGCTGGCTAGTTTGGTGTGAGGGAAAAACACTGTTTTTGGTTGGAAATTTACGATCGTTTACGAGCAAGCGAACAGGCTGATGGTTGTTTGTAGCATCTTCAATAATATCTAAAGATTTATATAAAAAATATATCTAAATTTGAGTCTAAAAACTGACTTTGAGACCTTTTATAAAAAAATAATGGATATAAAAAATGCACTCCATCAATAGTTTCTTTTATTTGTTCCTAACAAAGTACCCCCTCCGTCTCTTTTTAAATATCGTTCTTACGTATTGAGAAGTCAACATATTTAACTTTGATCAAATATATACAAGAGATTACTAATATTTATGGCATATAATGAGTACCATTAGATTAATCATTGAATATATAAAAATAACATACTTATTTAGATATGCAAATGTTACTAATATTTTCATAAATTCAGTCATGAAAATCTCGGTAACATTTAGAAAGGGATGGAGGGAGTACACGTCGCCATTTCCTGTACATACCAAGCCGCTGACTGTGGACAACTCACCACTGTGGCCGGCCATCTCCAACAGCCTAGCTCACCCCAAAACTTTCAAAATGAAATTTTCATTGCCTGTTCTATCAGTATTCTCGTATCTGAAAATAGTAGTCAGAGATCCAACTTCGAACCTCCCAGGCGGTGACGAATGTCGGGCTAGTGGACAGCCATCCGCCGTCACGGCACCATAACTCACACATAAAAACCTCCAAAAACAGAATCTCCATTACCTGCTTTATCTATCAATATTCTTAGATATGAAAATGGTGACCAAAGACTCAATTCTAGTGAAACTCTAGGAGAAGGCGGCAGCAGCGATGGGCAACATAGAGCACCGAGGAAAAAAGGCATCAGGGGCGCCAACAACCATAAAGAGTATCGATCGTCCGTGATTTTTTTTTTTTTGTCTCAGTTTTTCCAGGCACAAATAAATCTGGGAGTTAGGATAACAAGACGTTGGAGTGGTGTTTTTTCTATTATATGCCAAAAAAAAAGATTAGGAGTAGATTTATCAAACTATACTCTTAGTCGGTCTCCAAGCTTATGTGCTACAGTTAACCCTGTTCAGTGCAGGCTCAATACCTCTCCTCCGGGGTGGTCAGAGTTCGAGTCACTCTTTGTGGCTTCGGCCGCAGTGACCGGAGAGGAAAAAAACTCTCGTCTGCCCCACATCCAAAGCACAGGTCTATGACCACCTCATATCACGGAGCTGTTGTGCCGCTGTATGTAAGGGTGGGGCAAATGTTTGGGGGTTTTCTCAATGAGAAGATCATCTTCTTAAGCTAGAATACCTGGGACTATCTAGCCACCGTGGATCGAGTTTTTTTTTTTTACCCACGAAGATCTTTATGCAAGTTTGTATACTGCTCAAAGCACAGGTCCAAATGATATATTATCTAGTACATCATATTTTGTCGTACTAGGTAATGCACACAAATTGATGGGGTCCATAAAAATAAAATCTCACCTTTCCAACCTTAATTAAACCATGGAGATAACCACGTGTAAAAAATATAAGCAATTATTTGGAAAAATATTCAGCGTAAACTCTCTACTCATTGGAATCGTGAAAACATTTTAGAAAAACATACTTAATTGAAATTGAAATAGTTTTCGCTAGATCCCTTATAGGTTTCTGATAAGTTCTTTGTTGGCATGGACGAATGGTCGCTCTCTGCTCTTGATCTTACTAAACACAATTTGCATGTGCAAGACAACCAAATACTTATACTGGTTTCTCTTGTCCTACATAAAACCTAATACAAACTAAGGCTAGTACAAGCAATCAATCATACTCTCTATCCACGTCCAATTTTGTCAAAGAAAGGAAGAAATTCAAGTGGTTAGTGGCCATAATTTTGCGAACATAAGGTACGGTCAATCAATCATTGTAGGTTAGTGTCCATAATTTTGCAGACTAAATTAACTTTCACACAAAAGATGCCTACAGACAACAACGCAGAGATCGACTAGCTCTATGAAGTGAAGTATGCTTCGAGGTGTAATTCTGAGTGCAATAAGAATTAGGAAAACCACTGTAGAAAAAGAAAAAGAAAAGAGAGAACAGCAGGGTACCTTGTAAACCACTCCGTACCCACCTCTTCCGACTTCTCGCTCCTGGGAGAAATCTTGCGTGATGGCCTTTAGAAAATCCATCGGCAGACACATCGGTGCCGCACAGGGATCTTGTAGCATGCCCTCCAATACGCCAAAATCTGTAGATTTCGGTAAGAAAGCACGCTTGCTAGCTTCACTGCCAGTTATACGGTGAAAAAACCTACAGGTTGAACAAACGAAAATCAGAGACCATGTCTCTCTCACTTGCCAGTAATTTGAGACAGTACAACAGGAATTTCACGAGATTTCGAGAGCAGAACTGCAATATGAAACTGTTGCGTTTCCGAACTCATGGCATGTGGAAGAACAGGCTTACCTTGGGAGCTAGCATCTCTCCAACAAGATGTGTGCTCTCCAAGCGTAAGGTGAGGAATGAAAACCCAATCGGGTGTCTGTCAAAATGGTTCGTGCGAGTGCATACTAACTATACTAGCTTACTTGTGAAGAATAGATGGACTGATCGTTGACTTGACTGACTCCAAGGCTGTGCATGCTAGCACTTGTGATGCCCGAGCTAGCCGAAGACTAGTAGTCTCCCTCTGAAAAAATGATGGCGACTAGCTAGGTTGCTGCTTAATTAATTAATTAGTCACCACGTAGCTAACGGGGGCACTTCGCTGGTGCTGGATGCCCATGCGTTACGCGCGAGGAGGCTAACCAGACATGGTTGAACCTTTTCGTCACGAGAAAAACAGTATGGGTAGTAGGCCTAACAATAGTACGGCCAACGGCGGAGGGTGAACCAAATTATAGTAGGTAAAAGAACAAGTGAACTGTATTTGACACAAGAAATTCACTCACGCAGACACGGAGAGCCGGAGACGCAAGTACGGCGTGACGCGAAGCCGCGCTCCATGCGTTCCTCTCTTGCTATGTACGTGAGTGCGCAATGGGCTAATGGCCGATGCTTTGCTGAAGGCAAAACACAAAGTTCAAAGAAAAGGAAAAGAACCAATTCCATTCAAACTTCGTAATAAAGACCTTCATAATGACTGTTTCCAAGATCCGGAAACTATTCTTGATGTTCGATGTTTCATCTTCTTTATGTAGCAGCGACCATAGTCGGATCGAATATGTTGCTCTAAAAACTACGTGCAAAAAGGTGTTTGGTTTAGCTTTGTGGAATACCGTATTATTTCTATTCAACCATATAGCCTAACAAATAGCATCTGCTCCTAATAAAACTTGATTTTTATACTTTGGCCCAAAACTCAAAAGCCAAGAACCAACCATATATATTAGCTATTGCCCAGATGGCGGTTGAATTCCAAAGGCGATTTGCACGGGATTCCAAATAAATCTAGCATAATGACAATCAAGAAAAGATAGATGTTGCCAGAAGAAAATTGAAGGCATCTTTTTACAAAATATTTATAAAGTTGTTTTCAACTCTAAGTAAAAAAAATTAAACATAAAAATAAAATAAAAAACTAGCTACTCGTGCTATCTGTGCAACTCACCTTGCATTCTTGCAATAAACAGATATAGTAGGATCTAGAAATGCAACATACAACCACTCAACACGAGCTCAGCCATGTCCTGATCGACGGCCTTAGCCATATGCTAATCGACGAGCTCACAGCTCAGTCGTGGCCTGATTAAACAACGAGAGGATCCTGGGAATGCTTTCTGTGGTCTGGAAGATAAAGTTGGTGGAGTCGAGCTCGAGCACCCCGGTGCCGATGGGGATACAGACCATGGTGCGGAGGCCAAAGGTATAGGCTTGGCAGGCCCGTTGGCAGGGGGCATCGGAGAGGGCAGTGGTGATCCATATGGGTCGGGCGGCGAGAAGCGCGTTGCCCGGGAGGCTTGAACTAGCGGGCAAGAACTGTGACATGGAGACCAGGAAGAACCATTCGGTGTCGGTGACATCCTCCATGTCAGGGTCCTTGTTAAGGTCGCAGGCGGCAGGGTAGCCCGAGAGAAGGGAGCTGAGCTCGCGGAGGACGTTCTTCCGGTGCTGCTGCTCCTGACCCCTCACCCCTGAGATGTCCACGAAGGACTGCATCACGGACGTGAGGTTGGACCATAGCTCGTCGCTGACTTCCTCCTCCTGGGAGGCAGGAGTCGGAGTGGAAGCGGCATTTTGGTCGTTGCCGCAGATTAGGGAGTGGAGCTCGCGTAAGACGCGCTTGCGATGCTCCTGCTCGGCCTGAACCGCAGGGGTGGTAGGCTGGCGCTTGCTGGGACCCTTTTCATCTCTGTCGCAGCCTTTGTAGTAGCCGTCATCCCAACTGAGGCATGAGGAGCCGGTGATGGCGTCGACGGAGGACTGCCAGAAGATGGCGCATGTCCAGGCTTCATCAATGGAGCCCTCGATGATGGCCTGGAGGCGCTGCTGCAACATGGCCCGGCTGAATGCGAGCTGTGGCACTTGGAATGGCTCCACAGAAATACTCATTCGCTCTACCAACCTGCACACCTACAGATGAAAGTCACAGTCAGCACTTATCCTTCCCTCCTTCCCTTATATAAGTAGGAGGAATGAATTTTTTTGTAATCCCTATGTGCTTCGTTACTATGCAATGCCCAATATCTTGCAAACTCAGTAAAAGAGTGTATGGTTGGATATTTGTTTTTAAAAAATTGTGCGGAACATTGAAAATAAGAAACATGATCTGCATGCCTTGGATAGTCAGACTACGAATAGGAACATCCATAAGACCTTACACAATCACTTTTCATGGAAGTTCTATCAATGATGAGTAGTTTTGCTCATACATGTCACACCAAGGAGCATACCTAATAATAATATTAATACATCATCCAAGAAGGCTCCCAGCAATAATAACAATGTCAAAGTTTGATTAACAAGTAAACACAATATATTGTTACTTTGTTCTCTTGAAAACCTATGTAATGTTATTTTCTTGTGGGTTTCTTTCAGATGATTGTCCTAGGCTCTGTTTTTGTGTTGTAACCTAATTTCCAAGATAGAAAATTGTTCTGCATTTTTTGCACTATCCCCAAGCGTTTTAACTTGTATACCTAACAAAAGTACCCTTTTTCAAACTAAAAGAATGTCTCTTAAATCACTTTGTAAACCTCGTATAATCTCGATGTCTTGCGTGTTCATCCTGTTAATGTAGTTCAAACCAGATTATTTCATAGTAAATCCTATTATTGCCTTGAACATTGTCACAATATTTTTTTTGTGGATGGTATCCAAAAAGAAAAACAAAAGCGATGAAACGATTAATAAAACCGAACAGACCTGATCTATTGATGACCCTCGGTCGTCATGTCCTAACCTGTGAGAAAATTGTGAGGATCTGCGAATCGTAGTCTCTGTCTCCTTCAGGTTTTTGACAATATCCCCTACACTTGGCCTTCTGTGCCGGTCAACCTCCACACAGTTTAAAGCTCTTCGACACATCTCTTAACTTGTTTGGAATATGATTCTAAGAAGTGCATTGGGATTGTTGCATGTAGTCTATCCATCCAATTTTTATGTACCTATCAATTTAGAAGATAAAGAAATGTATTATATTAGGAAAACCTTACTATTATTGTCAAAAAAAATCATGTTATTTACGACAACTTGTAAATGGTAAGAGGCTAAGAGCAAACTGCTTTTACTTACAAGCTCAATGAATTGTTGGGGAGACATTTCAGCACTTTTGATGTAGCCTTTACTTCCTGTCATTATCTTTATGATTACGACACCTAAGCTAAAGATGTCAAACTTATTTGAGATTATGTTCCTTTCAATGTATTCCGGCGGTATGTATCCACTGCATTACACACTCTACATGGTTACTGATAACAACCCATCAGTGCAAACACAGCATTCTGCTTAAAGGAAAATTAAGTTAAACGGAAACAGTAATATAAACTTACTATGTTCCTATACAACTTCTTGTGATTTGAGTTGGTTCTTCCCCAAAGAACCTTGATAAGCCAAAATCGCAGATTTTTGGCATCATGTTCTCATCCAGCAATATATTAGCTGGTTTTAAGTCCAAGTGATAAATAGGAGATTTCAATTCCTCATGAAGGTATTTCAAACCGTTGCAAATTCCCTTTATTATTGCATAGCGCGTGTTCCAATCAAATCCATGGTATTCATCTGTAGCAACAAATAAAGAGAATATTATTGTTTGAAGTAGGATTCGCTAACTTGCTTAAAGATGCTACAAGTAGACCTCCATCATATACCAGAAAGATATTTGTCAAGGCTTCCATAACGCATATACTCGAAACAGAGCGCCCTACAAATTCTTTCAGCAAAAACTAATCTTCCATTGTACTCAACACATTTGTTCTGAATTTCATGGCAATAGCCAACAAGTCGCACTATATTTGGGTGCTGGAGACTTGCAAGATTGTGAAACTCATTCAGAAATTGCTCCTCCTCAAGTCCTGGCATATCATAAAGCATCTTCACAGCAATCTTCTCCCCATTGTTATGCACTCCCTGTTCATCATTTCACATTGTTTAATATTCTGTATATAGTGATATATCACATGTATAAAGAACAAATTTTGGCCTGTTATTAGGTATGCAGGATCTGCTTCCACATTTTGCTATGGGCTTACTTTGCAATCCATGCATATCCTTCACCAGGCTGTAACCAAATTTGAAAATTAAAGCTCTCCTTTGTAGTGCTCTGACAACCATTAGAACCTGGGTCTGAACACAGCCCTATGTTTATTTATTTATGTATTGATAATGTTAGTCTTTTAGCCCTGTGCTTTATTGATATCATTTTGTTTTACCATGGCAGAAAAGATTGTAAAGACTAGAAGAGTAGTAATTGCTTCACTAGAAATAGCCCTTTTGCCCAGTGAACCAATCCACAGTTACGACCAGAGTTGTAAAGTGACTAATCTGTTCATCACATAATGCGTCATTCACGATCTGGCCACTCTTACCTCTTTCTTCTCTGAACAATATATCTTACCATATAGACTTTTCCAAACGCACCACTACCAAGTTTGCGCTCATTTGAGAAGCCATCTGTAATTTCTTCCAATAAATGGAATGGGATGTCCCTCGGCAACCCACTGCTTGAATGATCCATCCTGTGGCTTTCCTGCTATGTACAATAATAAAAGAGTAAAATGCACGACAAGTCCATTAACTTTTAGAGAGGTGTCATATAGGTCCATCAACTCTCAAAGTGCATTTCTGGGTCCATAAACTTTTAATGTTGTGCACCGTAGGTCCAAACCTGTTTGGAAGCTTGACATTTTTTCATTAAGCCCCTTCTCCTCAATCTCTCTCTCTCAAAAGAGCCCTCACCGAGACCGTAGGCACGCCATCGCCCGGGCGAGCGGTCGCCGGGCGTGCAGGCCAGCCATGCCGCCGCCGCGCGCGAGCTGCCGGCCAGCCTGCGCCGGGTGAGCAAGAATGCGGGCAGGTGGCCGCGCCAGGCAGCCACGCCGTCGCCTAGACAAGTGGGTGGGCAGCCGCGGGGGACCAACCATGTCCGCCGCTGCGCAAGCGGGCGGGCGGTCGCGCAGGGCCGGCCATACCGCTGCTGCTCAACTCCTACACGCTGCCACTCGCCCTCAGGGCTGCGTGTTCGTCGCGCTTCGCCTCCGCCGTACGTACACGCCCACCTGGACAGCTGGACGTCGCCAGGCGCCAGCTAGGTCCTTGTTGTATGCCAGAGCTCGTTGGCGCGGGCAAGGCTCGCCACGTGTTCGACGCAGTGCCGGTGAGGAGGGTGTGAGTGTGACCCACTGACCCCGACGCAGCTTCGGCCGCGTTCGCGCGCATGGTGGCGGCCTGGGCGGCTGGGCACTCCCGGACGCTGTGACGTGGACCACGCTGCATGCCTATGCCTTTTTGAAGGGCTCGTCCGTGGCTACCTGTTTGTCAGCAACTCATTGGTGTGCATATACGGCAAGCTTGGAGAGATGGAGGAGGCCGAGAAGTTTTCTAGGATGCTGGGGCGAAGAAGATGCGATGATGGTCGTGCGGTGCCCAATGTCGGGAGCTAGAGTGCTGTCATTGGTGGGTTCGCGTCAGCAGTGGACATGGAGCAAGCACTTGAGCTCTTGCGGCAAATGCAATAACGAGAGAACTGATAGAACCTTAAAAAATCCTGTCAGTCAGACATCTGCAGAAAAAGATCAGTAGTATGTAGGAACTGCTTGTGCTAAGGTTCAGTGAAAAAGATCAGTAGTTGAATGGTGACATCCCAGTTTTGAATGGTATTCTGTTAACTCTCTGAAAGAAGCTAATGCCTAATAGTGTTTGTTCATCTCAGATGACGTAATCTATATTTGACCATTTATACGGCAAGCTTTGTGGATCAAGCAAGTTACACATCTAAGTAACACATTTCATACAGAAAGCGAAAAAGAACTGAAGAAGAGCTTGGCTACTAAAGATGTTGTAGAGCAAAGTAGGGCATCAGGGTCCTGCAGATCTCCTATGGCTCTGCCATTGCGCGACGCTGGCGCCGCGATGTAGACGGGCTTGCTGTAATCCCAACTCCCAAGCGCGGCAGACAGATTGGCAGGCAGAAGTGTCAATGGCGTAGGCGATTCCGACACGCAGAGGATGAGACGCGACGAGACAAGCGCTGGCCGCCCCCTCGCACGACGGTGACGTGGCGCTAGTCCCGCGCGGCTGCTCACCCAGTCGCCCGGCATCGGCGTGCCTTCGCCGTGCGACCGCGCCCGCCCGCTCGCGCGACGGCGACGTGGCGCTGGTCCCGCGCGGCTGCCCGCCCACTCGCCCGGCGACGCCGTGGCTGCCCGGCGCGGCCACCTGCCCGCATTCTTGCTCGCCCGGCGACAGCGTGTCTAGCCCGTCGCGGCGGCAGCGTGTCTGGCCCGCACGCCCGGCGACGACGTGCCTGACAGCGCAGCCACCCTTGCGCCCGCTGGACACGCGCCATACGGTGGGGGCTTTGTTGAGAGAGATACTGAGGAAAGGGGGCTCAATGGAAAAATGTCAAGGCCCCGAACGAGTTTGGACCTGCGGTGCACAACATTAAAAGTTTATGGATCCAGAAATGCATTTTGAGAGCTGATGGACCTATATGACACCTCTTTAAAAGTTAATGGATCTAGGGTGCATTTTACTCATAATAAAAAACATATGTTGTATGAGATGAATTAAATACATGTTTGATTTAACAGATAGTAGAATACTCATTGAAAATCCGTGATAAATTGGATATTCTTCTTCTGGACCTCCAACTCCTCTTATTTTCACAAAACGCATGAACACGTAGCAACTGAACTAACCATCAGGAGCTGTGTGCGATTTGGTTGTTCCATAGATAGTACAGTAGATGTCAGGTGATTTACATATACAGAACAAGGTTGGAGCCACATGGTTAATTAGTTAAGATTTGCGCACAGAGCAACACATCTGGATCGGCGTATGCCTGAGTCTGGAGAGCATTAGTACGACCACTAACCTGAAAGAGGTCTGCAGGCTGCTGCGACTGTTCAGAGGATGATTGCTCACTGGTATCGCCGTTGAGGCGGATCTTAGTCTGCAGATCCATCAACGTTGTGGCGGACTGCCGGAGTCCCTGCCGCCGGTGCTTCCAAGAAAGGGGCAACGTGGGGGGAAGAAGACGCGGTCAACGGTGGTTCCGTAGAGATGGAAAGACACAGACTAAAGGAGCCGGTCAGCTGGATGTAGAGGAGGTAGAGCCGAGAGCAAGGACGACAGGATTTTGGGGCAGCAGGAGCCGGGGCTTGACCGGATTTTGGAGTTGGAGGGGAAGAATTTGGGGAGGAGGTCTGCTCATGGAAGGTGGAAGGTGAGGAGCGGCCAAGGGGAAAGGTCCGACAGTGCTACCCCTGCCGTTGGATGCCATGTTGGCTCAATGAGTTTCATTTGGATCAAATTTTCTTTTCTTGATACGATTACCAACTTTGTATGAGTCATAAAATTAGATATTTAAGGATGTTTTATTCAAGTTTCATTTTATTATATATGGCATGGTAGTCTTGAAAATAACACAATAAAATTATCCACCGAGACTAGCTTAAACCGTTGTTATTATGCCCCTTTATTACTTTGCGAAGCAATAGTGTTTTTTAACAACTTTGGAATTAATACCCCTTCTGGCGAAATTCCACAAGACAAAATTGATGAAAAGTTGTTTGAACTGGTGATAATCCTATTTCTTTAGTTATTAGAATAAATCCATACTTACCTCATCGAAAACCCAACAAAAATTTGACATATACTGTTTTAAGCCTACACATAGATATAACTTGGAGGGATGAATTATATTCTTAGAGTCAGTGGACCTAATTGTAAGAAAACGTTTACGGGTATTTTACTTTTTCCTAAATATATGGATCATTCTTTTTGCAAATACAAGCACACTTATCTCTATGAACACACGCACGTCGATAGGAATGTCGCCTACCACTGAAAGCATAACGCCGTTAAATCTTGAGAAATTCGTTTCCATGGGGAGTCGAATCCAGGACCTAAAATGCTATTAAGGCTACTGTAACCACTAGCCTAAAGACCTCAGCAAATCTTAAACAAAGTTAGTGGCAGTTGTCGAGTTAACTTATCGCCCATCATTTCATCAATTATGTCCCTTCAGAGATCTGATTAAGCAACGACATCTAAACTAGACAAGACACTTGATAGTTGGACGCATATGACAGCAGACGGTGACAAAAAAAGTGTAAATAGACAAATTGTTTGCTGCACGCGAGAGCACGAGGCATCAATCAAAAAAGGGACAAAAAATAGTACTACTAACTAAAATATGTACTGAGCCGAGCAGCTCTAGCTTGGCCGGCACACAAAAAACACCAAATCACTCGCAACCCAAAGCCAGATGGCCATGGAAGTCTCCTTGACCTCCTCTGATAGGATGTGTTTGTTTGAGAAATGATGTGGTCCATCACTTCTCACTTTTTCTATTTAGTTTATAGAGTGGAGTGAGTTGATCCACACCATCATATCCTCACATAGCTAATAATTAATATATACATGATAAATGAGTTGAGTCAGTCAAAATTTATAAAATAAACTCACGATGTATCACCACATACCAAACACACGAGTCTCCTCATTCTGTTCCTCGCTCTCCTCCCTCTGCTCTGCTTCCTGCACCTGCGCCAGGACCAAGATCCAAAGAAGCAGCCCCGTGTCCATGGCCTCAAGTCCTACCCCGTCATCGGCGTGCTCCCGCACTTGGTCACGAACCACCGTCGCTTCCTCGAGTGGTCGGCCGACGTCGTGACGAAGAGCCCCACGCACACCATATCTTTCAAGGTCCCCGGCCTCACCGGCGCCGCCATCATCACCGTCAACCCGGCCAACGTCGAGCACATCCTCAAGACCAACTTCGCCAACTAGCCAAAGGGCGAGGCCACGGTGTCCACGATCAAGGATTTCCTTGGCCACGGCATCTTCAACTCCGACGGCGACCAGTGGCTGCGGCAGCGCAATTAAGGCCGTCAGCTACGAGTTCAGCAAGCGCTCACTCAGGAGCTTCGTCGTCGACATGGTCCGGTTCGAGGTCGTCGACCGGCTGCTGCCGCTGCTCGAGCGCGCGGCGCGCGACGGCCGGACGCCGCTGGACGTTCAGGACGTGCTCGAGCCCTTCGCGTTTGACAACATCTGCTGCGTCGCCTTCGACCACGACCCGGCGTGCCTCGCCGAGGACGAGGTGGGCATGGCCGCGCCGCAGAGCGCCGAGTTCATGCGCGCCTTCAACGACGTGCAGGACGCCGTGATGGCCCGGTTCATGGCTCCGGCCAGATCTCTGTGGCGCGTCAAGAGGCTGCTCAGCCTGGAACCCGAGAGGCGGCTGCGGGAGGCGCTCGCCACGGTCTGTGTCTACGCCGACCGGATCGTCCGGAACAGAGGGGAGGCAGGGCACGACTTCTTGTGGCGCTCCGCCGCGAGCGGCGAGCACAGCGACGAGGGCCTTCTCGACGTGGTCACCAACTTCATTATGGCCGGTCGGGACACGACGTCGTCGGCGCTGACCTGGTTCTTCTGGCTCGTCTCTGGCCGGCCGGACGTAGAGGACAAGATCGTGGGCGAGATCCGCACGGTGCGCACGACTAGCCAGGGCATCACCACGGGCGCCGCGACCTTCAGCTTCGACGAGCTGCGCCATCACCGAGTCCATGCGGCTGTACCCGCCGGTGCCCATGGACTCGCGCCACTGCGAGCAGGAAGACTTCCTGTCGGACGGCACGTTCGTCGGGGAAGGGTGGCAGGCGTCCTATTCGGCTTTCGCGATGGCGCGGGTGGAGGGCATATGGGGCAGTGACTGCGAGGAGTTCCGGCCGGAGCGGTGGCTCGGCGAGGACGGCGCGTTCCGGCCGGAAAGAACGTTCAAGTACCCCGTGTTCCACGCGGGGCCGAGGGTGTGCCTCGGCAAGGAGTATGGCGTACATCCAGATGAAGTCCATCGTCGCGTGCGCGTTCGAGAGGTTCAGCTTCCGGTTCGTCGCCCCTCGGCGGTGAGGAGCGGGCGGGGCTGGTGCTCTCGTTCACGCCGCGGATGATAGGCGGCTTGCCGATGCAAGTGAGCAAGAGGAACTAGACATTCCAGGCTACACATGAGACATGTCCTGCCAATTCGTATGTGGCAAACTACTGATTCTATGAGATTCAAGATCGAGCGAATACAGTGAGTAGACTGACATTACAATTTTTTACTAAAAAAGAAAGATTGCATCTCTAATAATTTGTGCTGTTAAGATCACTTGTCCCTCAACCCGTGCTACCGCACGGGCTCATTTGAAATTTGTATAAAAAATTTAGGTTCCACAAATTTGCCTTCTCTCAAGTTGCTCATATTGAATATTTTAACATGAAAAATGATTTTTTTTTTCTTTATCTTGTTGTGGTAGGCTTTAATACAATTACTCTATCCACTTTCGTATCCCCGTTCATATTGCATCACAACTCCTGACCTCCAAGTATGTTTGGCATCTGTGTGTAGTTGATCTCTCTCATGTGTTCAGATTCTTCCAAACCAACTCAAACTTTTGACATTTGCACTGTACATTCAAGATGAAACCTCGATTATGTATTTGGCTTGGAAATCAGCCATGCATGCGCTAGTTTTTTCTATATTAACAATGACGTAAGTGAATAATTCAGAATGGTTTCAATAGTATTTATGGAAAATTTTAATAATATGAATATGATAGATGTAGATAGTTTAGATTTAGGGATTACTTTACAGTATCTATGCTAAATAATATAATGTAGGTGGGTAATCGAAGAATACAAATTTAATTTAGGGGTTACTTTATATTATTTTTTTCCTAGTAACATACTCCCCGCATCCCAAAATAAGTCTCCATCTCACATTTCCATGAATTAGCCCAACTTAACTTTTTTTTGACCAAATATATATAGAAAAAGTACTAATATTGATGATAACAAATATTTAGATGAACATTAGGGGAGCTACTTTCGGCTACTTTTACATAATGGTAGTGGTGATAACTTGAATCAAGATTTAGTAGTTAGTTTAGACTACTTTTTTAATTGCAGATGTTTATATCTTTTAAGGAAAAATTATAATATATATAATAATGACTATCATTGTCAGTGATAATTATAATCTACCATATACATCGAAAAAACACTCCACTCTTGTGCATTGTTTTGTTTGACAAAATAAATATACTACCGTAGTTGACTAAGGTTTTAGATTTCTTTAAAATACCATCTTTTTATTAATTATAAGGGAATAGAATGCCAATTAGCAATGATGATGTAATTCGTGCTTTTCCTCAGTATAGAAACGAACAGTGTATTAGTCCCTCTTTTTATGTTTCTAGGTGATTGTCAGCCGGATAGCACGTGTATTAATTGAATGTTATGACAAATTTGGCTTCGGTTCTCATATAGGTAAACTGGACAATTTACGTATAAATTACGTAGCTATAGACTAAATGATGCTGGAAAGGACATTTGCATTTAGAGTTGAGCTCTAACCTGTATGGAGTCGTGACGCGGCATCACCCAACAACACCTTGAGCACACCGAAACACTTCTTTGTCGCCTGACTACTTGTCGTCGTTACTCGTTAGGTGGCCTGGGTATAGGACAGGTTCACAGGGCGACCAAGAGAGCATATTATTGTACGTGCAGCTTGGTACTCATCCTCATCCATGATCCATGCATGTCTACCTGGTTTAATTGTTGATGACGGAGGCCGGGATTGATGACTGCATCCACGTGCTAGCTGATGGAGGACGGTAGGTTCAACCGCGGAATGCGTTTCTGGGTCAGCTTGTCGATGATCTGGAACGAGATATAGGAGATCAAACAACAAACAGATTGCAATCTAAATAGGAGATCAGGCAACATAGCAGATGGACTGCAACTTCTACATGGTTTGGCCCCGTGAAACGGACGCCGTCGCTCGGGCGCCGCCAGCAGCCGGGCCAGGGTTTGGTTCGGAGTGTCTGCGCCTGTTGGGTGGTAGGTGAATCATCTCACCCGGCCGCAGGACGCCCACGAGGAGGGGGAGGGGGCACGCCGCTGCTCCTGCGGCAGTGTTAATTTGGACGGGGGTACTTGGGTGTTCGTATGGTGATTTGGATCCATGCATATATCACGAGGTTTTCTTCATAATAATGGAATCAGATCGTTTTTATTTATTAGGTTCTTATTTGAGATTTTTGCAACCGCATAGGTGGGTGTATTTAAGGGGTCATTTAATGTTATTTTCTATAATGGCAATTGTGGGTAATTTTTTAGGAAAACAAAACACATCTAATGGCGGCTACCGTTGTTAGAGTCTATTGGATTGACGGCCAGATGTTTCTGATTATTGTGAGAATTTCTAGAATTTATCTTTTTTCTTAGCGCGTCTGGATTAACGCTGTTGGAGCCTTTGTGATTAATGGAAGGTTGCTGAACTTTTTCGGTCACTTTCTACGGGTTGAAACATGCAGGACATTCTCTCGCTGACGGCGAGTGATTCAAGATGTAGATGCAATTGCCAGACAAACCGCTATCAGCAGTGACCGAACATGAGGCTCTTCTGACGTTGGAAAGCACATTGCTAGTTAGCTGTCTCCTCCCAGGAAAGTCCTGTCTTGTCCACCCTGGACCACGCTGGCTCCGAGAAATCCATCTTACCGGTTTCACTTGTCTGAATGAGAACGAAACAAAACAAAAGAGGGACTTTCTGGTCTCGCCAAACATAGGGACCGTTGTTCCAGCGTCGTACGATGTTATGATCACAGATCAGACGGAGAAGAATTTCACTGGATGGAAGAATCGGATAGAAAGAGGAACAGCAAATGGGGAAGAACAGAGTAGCAACGGAGTGGTTTGGGATTTCTGTTATTCCTTAACCGCCAGGAAAGCAGTTTCTCGCCTCTTATAACCGGAGACGAGTTCTCCTTACAAGGCCCACTGGCCAGTTATCGTGGACGTGCAGGTCCAAAGCCCAAACACAACAAGCATAACACCTGAAGCCATATTACCACTCTAGGCCACCTTCGTCATGGTCACTTGATCCGTGACATTACCCTCGCCCCTTGCGAAGAAGCTTGTCCCCAAGCTGTCGATGAAGGATACCTGCGCCGAAGATCCTGCTCATCTTCCCAGGTTGCGAGAATTAGAGAGAGACCACCCCACTGAACCTTGATCCATGTTGCAGATGAACCACCTCAGCCGATGTACTTGATGTCCATTATAGAAACCGGCTGAAGAGGCTCTTCAGGATCTGATGGAATTGCTTCAGTATCTAAACAAACCTCCATCTGAGGTGGAATATGCTTCTTCAATTGAGACACATGAATCACGGGATGGATCTTAGCTTGCGGAGGAAGGTCCAGCTTGTATGCCACAGGGCCAATTCGCTGAAGAACCCGATATGGTCCATAATACCAAAACAAAAGTTTATTGTTACCTCTTGACGCCAAAGATGACTGAATGTATGGCTGTAATTTCAGGAACACCATATCCCCTTCCTCAAACACACGCTCAGAACGTTTCTGATCAGCTTGTGCTTTCATTCTCTGTTGAGCTCTGAGCAATTGCTATTGAATCAGCTGAGTTAGCATGTTCCTTTCAGTTAAGCAACTTTCTAGTTCTGGTACAACACACAGGGTTAACAATACAAAGATGTCTGGGCTTATGACCAGACAAAATCTCAAAAGGAGTCCTACTCAGAGCAGCTGAAAACTGGTATTGTACCAATACTTAGCAAGTGAAATCCATTTGCTCCATTGTTAAGGGCAGGAGTGAACTGTGCACCTCAAAAAGGCCTCAATGCACTGATTTAATCTTTCAGTATGTCCATCAGATAGAGGGTAATAGGCAGCGCTCATCTGAAGTTGGGTGTCAGACAATCTAGAGAGTTCTTGCCACACTTTTGTTATAAACACTATGTCCCTAATTGTAACATCCTGAATTTTGACCTAGTTTAAAAATCACTACAAATTTGAACTTTTTAAAACTTTGCATAGGAACCAACATATATATTTAACCTAGGTATTAGTTTAGTATAAATAGGTTAACATAGAAATAAAACCATATGTATAGAATTGTGTGCATGAATGTTTGCTTGCTTGTTGAACATATGGTGGTACACCTTGCATGCATTCATATACAAATTTGAATTTAAATGCATTCAAAACTTAGTATAGGAAATCCGGGAAAAAGAAAAAGAGAATAGAAATAGGAGCTCATTTCTCCTCTCGGCCCACAGCAGCAGCAGCAACAGCCCATCCTCCCCTCTCTTCTTCCTCCCCCTCCCGTGCTGGGCCGGCCCGTTGCCACGCCCCGGCCCAACTCGTGTCCGCGTCCTTTCTTCCCGCTCCACCTCTCCCCTCTCCCCTCTCCCGCACTGTAGCGCCATTGACACGCGGCGGTGAACAAAACCACCGTACCGCCATGAATGAGCCCGAGCTCCCTCAGCTGCACACGTGGGCAAGCCCGCACTGTGGCAAACCAACTTAGCGGAATAGGCACGTGTGCGCGCCACGGGTGAGCTCGGCGGGCGAGAAAATATCTCGCCGCCGGAACCGACATGGCTGGCCTATAAATAGGCCCGGCCAGTGCCACTCCGGCATCGCCCTCCCCACCACCAACACCGCCATGGGCGGGAACACCTCATCTCCCCCCTCCACTTCTCCTCTTCCCTCCTCCTTGCTCTATCTCAATTTCCCCCAAATCGGGAGTCATCGGCGCCATTAGAGCCGCCTCCCTCTTTCTCCTCCGGTGCTGCGCCATTGTTTGATTGGACTGGCAGGTGAGTCCATGAGCCCCTTCTCTACCTTCCGCCATAGCTAG